CTTCTTGGCCAATTCTCGCTCTCTTCTTAGGTGCCATTTACTGAAAGTTAGAACAATACACGAGTTAGGGGAAAACAACCTCACGTTTCGCTCTATCGGACGATATAGAACAACAATGAAGGGCTTCATTCTTAAATGTCCAAGTAGCCCCCTAATTATAGGTGTGTTGATAAGAAGGGCTCTACTAGACACGGCTCTGAGACATCCTAGGACACTTTAAAACCTTAGGCTCTGATACTAAGTTTGTCTCGTCCCAACCTCGGGGAGCGCGACCGGCGCTCAACTGAGTGAACCCGGTCGAGCAAGCCTATTAAACATTTCCTACCAGACTCATTCATAATCCAAAAAGGGATCGCATCACCATTTGTAAAACAGGGGAGAGATCAGTTATATAAATATATAAGCGTTGCTAGTTCATTTTTCCTTATATACATTATGCCATAGTTGAGTTTCCAAAATACAACTCGATCCAACGACCATCCCAACATAGATACATGACCCATATAAACGTCTACGGAGCCTCTAATGATACAAAAGACTAACACGACAATGCCGACAACAAGGCCCCGGCTATACCTCAAAATATGAAAACTTATACAAAAGAAGGATTACATGACCCCTAGAGAAATGGGGCTCAACAAGACTACTGTGAGGAGAGAAAGAGAGCACCACTATCTGCGATCGGCACTATCTGCGATGGAACAACCTACATCCATTCAAAGATGTAGCGCCCCCAACAAAAAGGACGTTAGTATTGTCGAATAGTACTAGTATGTAAGTCAAACATCAATCTTAATAGAATGAACAATGAAATAAAGAGAAGGCAGTCATAATAATCAATAAGTACTTCATAGAAATACAAAAAAACACCACGTAAGGATCACATAGTTTCCAATTCAATCTTTCCATCTTTTTAGATTAATAATCTTTAGTGCCAAAGCCACAACGCACAATGCCCCCGTGTTTTTACACGGAGTCCAGTCTCGGCCCGACCGGCTAAGCCATCTCAAGTGAGACACATCCATATCCACCATGTAAATCAATAATTCCAACACGAATGCCACCATGTGTACAACATGGCATCCGATCTCAGCCCGATCGGCTAAGCCATCTCACGTGAGACATAACCTCTTTCAATGGTTCACTCAATTTACATTTCTTTCCCATCTGTCGTTACATGGAACAAACAGCCTCATTTATTAAGTAGTTCTTGGCACTTGGGAACATTTTACAATTCAAGTCTTTCCCTTTTTATTTGTTCAAATAACATCATCATTCATGTCGATAAGTACCATCACATAAGGCATTTCACACATAAGGGAAGGATCTTGGAAAATCATAATTACGTTCTCAAATAGCATGATGACATGGTAACCATCTAAAACAATTAGGGAACATGAATCTTTCAATCCAACACACTAAGGAAAACAATTCTAGTGTGATCAAGTTAGAACTTACACCCATTATTCGGACACCAGGAGTTAGATTCTAGGAAGAAGAGAGTTAGCCATACATACCTCAATTGCGCTTCTTTAGACTCTACAATTATCCGGAACCCTTAGCAACCTCAATCTATTTTAGCAATATACAAATTGAACCCAGAATTAGGAAAACGTTTATGGTTCTAGCCGACTTTTTATCACACATGCATGCAAGATAAACCACCCTCATACTCATGAGGTATCACCCTAGTACCCCATTATAGCTATGTTAGAAATTAAGAGCTAGGGTGATGAAGCCTTACCTTTTAGGATAAAGAATTTTTGTGCTCTACTTGAATATTTCCAAAGCTTTGAGTGATGGTTGAAGATCAATTTGATGAAACATCAGGCCCTCCCTCTAGAACCCTCTCTCTTACTCTAGAAATATCATAAATGAGCTTCAAAATAGACTAAAGGGGTGTTTTAATGGAATGGGAGTCGGGTTTTATATTAAGAAAAAGGGTGCCCCGACTCAGGTCTGCGGTCGCATATGCGACCGCATAATGGTTATGCGGTCCGCAAAGTGACCGCAGAAATGGCCCTCAGGGGCCTAAACTTTCGGCTCAGGTATGCGACCAGCATGCGGTCCGCATACTTGTTCTACGGTCGCATAATGCACCGCAGAACTCCCTACGCAAAAAACCAAGAGGGATTATGCGACTGATATGTGGTCCGCATAGTGATTATGCGGTCTCATATTCGACCGCAAAGTTGACCTCAAATTGGCCAACTTTCTGCTTCACTCTGCGGCCATTATGCGGTCCACAGAGTGATTATGCGGCCGCATAATGGGCCGCAGAAACGCGTTCTTCTGTGAAACATTTTCCTCTAAGTCCGTAGGGTACTGTTTAATCCAAAAAGTCCGAACCAAAGAATTTCTACTATAGTAATGCAGGAATGTATCTTGGCACCACGAAACCCCGAGTATTTGGTTAAAATTTTTACGGGTCCTTACAGAAACAACATTCCATGTCATGACCCACGACGCAGCCTACAACGCCATTATAGGGCGACCCTGGATACATTCCATGAGGGCCATCCCATCCAGCTTATATCAGGTCATCAAGTTCCCTACCCCATGGGGAATATTCAGCATCTGCGGTGAACAGCGCACAGCTCAAGAATGCTATCGCATCACCCAAGACAACACATACACTCAACAGTTAAGAGGGGAGGTCTTAGGAGCATAGTAATTACCGAAGTCGGGGCCCGAGTCCGACAATCAAAAAGACGTCATCAAAGACCCCGACGTCGTGGAAGCCCCAGGATCAATAGTGGAAGACCTCGATCCCATTCAACTGGACAGAAGAGACTACAACAAAAAAGCTTACATCGGCCACAAACTCACAGAACCAGGTAAATTCCACAAATTTTTAACTGACAATGCCGATCTGTTTGCTTTCTCCCATGCAGATATGACAGGTATCCCGAAATACATTGCAACACACAACCTGAACTTCGATCCACTCTACCCACCTGTACGGCAAATCAGAAGAAAGTTCAATGTTGTAATAAATGAGGCCGTCCGTGAAGAGGTAGAAAAATTGCTCGCCAACGGTTCCATTTGAGAGTCAAAGTACCCCCAATGGGTCGCCAACGTGGTCATGGTGAAAAAGAAAAATGGGATATGGCGCATATGCGTAGACTTCACTTACCTAAACAAAGCCTGCCCGAAAGACTCTTTCCTATTGCCTCATATTGATCAACTCATCGACGCAACAACTGGGCACGAGTTATTAAGTTTCTTGGATGCCTACTCAGGCTACAACCAAATCCTCATGGAAGAGGAGGACCAGGAAAAGACCACCTTTATCACCCACCAAGGGACGTACTGCTACAGAGTCATGTCGTTCGGGTTGAAAAATGCAGGGGAGACCTATCGTAGGATAGTAACCAAGTTGTTCAAAGAGCAACTCGGCAAAACGATGAAAGTCTACATAGACGACATGTTGGTCAAATCAAAAATAAAAGAGGACCATGTCGACCACCTGAGGGAAGCCTTCGACATACTTAGGCGATATGGCATGAAGTTGTACCCCGAAAAGTACGTCTTCGGCGTGACCTCTGGAAAGTTCCTGGCTTTTTGGTGTCGCAGAGAGGCATTGAGGTCAATCTCGACCAAATCAAGGCTATAGAGGGAATACCTAAAATTTTAACTAGCAAGAAACAGGTGCAGAAGCTGACTGGTTGTATAGCCGCCCTGTCGAGGTTCATCTCACGATCCTCTGACAGATGCCACAAATTCTTCAACGTACTCAAAAAGGAAAATGGACTCCAGTGTAATTCCGAGTGCATCAATTCCCTAAGAGAATTAAAGGCATACTTGACCTCGCCCCCGCTACTCGCCAAGGCAGAACCCGGCGAGCGTCTCTTAAACTACTTGTCCGTATCCTACGTCGCAGTAAGCGCAGTCTTGGTCCGTGAAAACAAAGGTACGCAATCTTCAATCTATTACATTAGCAAAGCCCTGGTTGATGCCGAAACGAGGTATCCCCACCTCGAAAAGCTGGCCCTGGCATTAGTCATAGCTTCATGAAAGCTTAGACCCTATTTTCAATGTCATCACATCTCGGTGGTCACGACCTTCCCCCTAAGAAGCATCCTACATAAACCC